TACATTACGAAACCTAATTCATGACTGTGGATAAATAGATTGTTTAATCTTTAATACTCCTGTTGACTCTTTCTTTCTTTCTTTTTTTTTTTTTTTTTTTTTTGTCAGAATGAACATTCATATATTTGCTTGTACACATCCATTTCCTCTCTTACACCCAAACTCATGCCTATTCTTCCCTTACATCCATTTTGTTCTTTGATTTTTGGTTGGTTGGTTGTTGTTTGTTTTTTTTTTTTTAGGTAATTCACTGGGTTCCTTTCAGTTTCGTCCAGCCCTGAAGCTTTGCTATTTCATGCCACTCCCTCTCACACTGACAATGATTGCGGACAGTCAGAGTGCAATCGGTACAATATTTTTTTCGGCTTAGTCCAAATCGATAGATATACACCGGCACTCCTTCACACGGGTGATCCTTTTCTTCTTCCTAGGGGGCTGAAGCTCAGGACAGTTGAGAGTAACAGTCATGGTGGTAAATTTCTTGGGCTTGCAGAAAGAACAAGACTGGAAAGAACCTTCCTCTTTGCGGACATGCCTGGGTATATAGAAGGAATTGCATTGGCCATAGCAGAACCTGTTGATAATGGTGCGACTGTTACAGCCTTCTTCATGGATAGTTTGTTTGAGGGGCTGAGTTTTGCACCAATCCCGCTTTAGGTATTTGCGCTCAGTGATGTGCAGTGCCTCTTGACTGGACTCCAGCACCTCCTCAGCAGGCATTGAGGTGCCTTTTCCTCGTTCTCGATGCCTGGAGCCCGACTGCTGCTGTGTCTGTATTTGCTCCGAATCATTGGGCTGTTCCTTGTCAGGAGGAGGGATAGCACCTTGGGATCCACGATTCCTCTTCCTCCCTTCTGCTGTTGGTACCAGAAATCCCATCAGAAGAAACACAGCAGCAACGGCATACAGCGTGCGGACCATCCTATAGAGAGGAAGATGAGGAAATAAAGCACAGTTGTGGATTTCAGATATCAACAGAAATCAGGTATGCAGAAAATTTTCAGCTCCATAAAGGAAGTGTGTGCGCACAGACAAAACAAGTGTGCAGGAGTGCACACTTACCTATAAAAGATGAGCACTTTGCCTTCACCCGCGGGAAAGCTATTTCCAAATTACTAAGTAATAAAAGCTTTCATATATGGTGATTGAAAGTCAGAGGCTACAATAAGTCCAAACAGAATTTAACTGTAGCATACATCTTTTTCCAGCTCCTTTATCCATGTATACTACCCTTCTAAAGAGTTTTTATTCCCTTCCTATAGCTTACTGACATTAGGAGCACTACTGATTTACACTGGTGGAAGAACAGATTTTATGCTGTGCAATGATTGAAATGATATAGTTATCTGTAACACCAGAGGACTGAACTCTTTGACTCAGGGCATGCATCCTAACTGCGTGTCCCTTAGTCAGACTCAGAAGCTTTGTACCTCTTCTTGCATAACACGTCCAAGTAGACTGACCATATGTGCAGACTATATCCACCTGCTGTCTGAACGCAGTAGCCCATGCTCTGCCATACTGCACCTCTGAACTGGTCCACTGAGTCTGAATGTAATTAAGCCTAAGGTAAGAGATGTGTAACAAGATAGGCAACAAACATAAATGGATATTTAGGTATAGGTTGAAAGAGGTGTGCCTGTAATTTCAAATTACACCTTCTCACATATTACTGTGAATCCTTGACAGATACATTATAGAAATGCAGTCATAGATCTCTGAGTTTTATTCATTATATCCAGCAGGATAATGAAACGACATGAGAACAGCAGAATTTCATGTATGGCATTATGTATGTGACATCAATATCGTAAAGAATGTTGATTGTGCATGCACAAAAAGACTTCAAGTGCAGTAAGTTGAGACAACAAGACTCTTTAAAACTGAACTCCTGCTCCAAAACCTAGTTACTAGCATAAAAGCAGCTTTTCTTTCCTTTCTTAGTCTTTATGACACAGTTACCTTCCACAAGTTCTGCTGTTTCAAAAAGCACTGAGCAATATGGGCTGCTAGGTCAGCTGAAGCCACCAACAAGCCAGGAAGCAACTCATCACCTGTCATGCTTTTCCCCCTTCCTGTGGTCTCTATGTTGTTTTGGAAAGAGAGGGATGTGGCAGTAAACAAGGCATATGGGGGAGGGAGGCTCTCAGGAGACCCTCCCCATGGGGAGCTTGGAAGAAGCCACCAGAAGTGGGAGGCCCATGCATTAAAAACTGGAAGAATTGTGAAGAACAAATGAGGAAGTTGGTGTTTCCTACCTGCTTGGAGCGCTGCTGTCACATCCCTTATTTAACTCATTTTATCAGTAAGGGATTAATTACTGTTTGACCTGAAAACTTCTGTTTGTGTTACTACCCTACGTGGCCAACATACATGAAATCAAGGGCACTGTCCTGTCCTGCTTTATCTGCTCGGCCTGAGACCACACAGCAAGGCAGAAAAGCAGCCAAATGCCAGCCCTTGAAGGACCACCTAGAGACTCAGTCAAGGCTCAGGATAAGTATCCTTTACTATGCAAGATACCTGTTAATTTCTCTGTTACTAGGTCTTTCCACTCACACAGAGAAAATATTTTTTTTATTATGCTGTTCAAAAAGCATTTCTTACCAAATGGACTGGGAAAGGAACTACTGGAGTGGAAAAGTGCCATAGGAGGTTCCCATTATATTCAGAGATTTGCCTGGGGAGTTTAAGTGTGGAGTTATTGTAAGTATTTGTCTACAGACTGTCAGTGTACCTGGAGTTTATAATATGTATTTTATCATACATATAGTATGCATCCATTTTGTTTATTTAGGCTTATTTACCAGTACAGATTCATTTTATTCATTTAGGCTTATGTACCAGCATGTCACATGTTTGGAAGAAGCTTCAGACTTCAAGAGAGGGGTGTAAAAAATGATGCTACTACCGACTCCAACAGGCAACTTGGAAGGGCTGCTTTAAATATCAAAATGAAATATTGTACAGAGCATGTTATTTTAATAAGCTTAAGGCTCTGTCATAGAACAGAAAAAAAAGAGTTGGAAATTCTAATTGAAGACCAATGCAATTGAATTTCAAGCATTAGCTTGGACTTCGTATTTGCTGTTTTTCCCCTTCTCTTTTGCAGTCTCGATGTTACTTAAACATGTTTCTTTTTAGTTTCCATCTTCTGTCTTTAAAATATTTTTAAAAAAGTAGTTATAAAATACTGCTTATTTCCTTAAGTGACCAGAATGACTCCTTCCAAAACTATTCTTATTTCTCCGGTGACTGTATACCCACACTGTATTTAGACAGTATTTTAATATGCATGTTATTTACTCAATGTGGTGCCAGAACCTTAGAAAGAAAGAAAAAAAAAAAAAAAAAGAAAAAAAGGCATTGCATGCAACCAAAAATAGTTTGCTAGTTTCTAAGCAGTGCCAGGAAATTTCAGGTATTTGTTTAGTGTCCCATAACTCTGAGTTGCTCTTTCACCACTATGTGTATTCCTGTTCTACTTTTATTTCTAGAGCTGATCATCTCCACACTGCTTCACTTTTTTTCCATAAGCGTGCAACCTATGACATAGTCATCCGTCATGTGAAAATAAAAGGTACTTTGGGATGGTAATTTGGGGAAAATCTGATGGTAATGTCTACTGTTGCATGATATGTATCCCAGGATCATGTGTCTGTAAGATGCACATACTTAACACTAAGGAAATTCAGGGATGTGTTGCAATATTATCCTAGAACTAGGGGTGAAATACTTTTTTTCACTGAGCTGATTTACAACCTCAGAGGCAGAAACTATATTAAATGCACAAAAAAGCGATTATGATTCAAATGAAAATTAACAACTCAGCCAAAGCCTTGTTATGGTCACTTCCAAAATATGCATCTAAAATTAAAAAATAATCCTAACATTGAAGACTAAATACAGTTTAAACATAGACCCACCAAAGAGGCTCTGTCAACTTTATGACCTTCAATGGCAGTTCAAGCCCAAACTCCCTTTAATAGTAACTAATCAAATAGTTATTAAAAAAATAAGATTATTAAAGAAAGTAAAAAAGAAAAGCAAAATACAAAAGAAAATGAGGTATTATGCCTCAATAAGGAGAGCAGCCAAAATGCAGTGCCTGGATTCTGCACTATATCTGATCTCGAGGCAATGAATGCATTTGCTTATGAGAGAAGACTGCACCTCTGCTTAAGTTAGGAACTAGAATGATTCATCCAATCTGCAGTTTAGTGTTTGAGAAATGTTTCCTTAACAGCTTTTTTTATTACTGAAAAAAATAAAAAAATAATAAAAAAAGAACACGCAACAGTGTGCAAGTGACTAAATCAGTGTTACCATATCCAAAGTTTTACAAAAAGGCTCTCCAGATTTTTTTTCCTTGTCACAGCCATAATTCTGAAGCAGTAATAGGTCTGGAGCTTGGGTAGGAGCTGTGAGGAATCAGGCTGTAAAATCTTACATGCCAAATTTCTGCTGAATTTTTAATACTTGATAGTGGCTGTAGAAGCATTGGCATAATCAGAAACCTTTCTGAGAATCTTTTGAACATACAGATGTCCACAGACAAAACACCTCGTTCAAGTCCCACTTACTTCATTCAGATCCACTGAGAGATCTGATATCATTAATATTTATTTTCAAAAAGTAACAAAATACTTCAAAAAAACTTTTTTTTTTTTTCCCCTCTGTATTTCATTGCTGAGCTGAGTTTTACTCTTTATCATGTGTAAGCACTCAGTCCTAAAGCCAAAAGCAGTTTTATTGCTGACTTCAAACAGGAGCAGAATTGGACCCTCAAATCACCTCATATGTGGATTATCTAGAGCCGGGGATCTACTAGTCTACGGCAGATGAGGAATGCTGCAGATTAATACTAGCAACCGTTCTATGGAAGTGTAAAACCTTCCAGGTTATTACTCAATACAGTAAACTGTAATTTTTCAGTTTATACATTTTCTGCTATAAATTAAGGACCTCCAAATGTCAGTTTATAAACGGCACTTCCCTATGAGTTCCCAGGCAGAGCTGTAAAGCGATCACTGAAACTTTTAACACAAAGCAACTTGTTTAAAAGTACTGGATGGAGTCCCGGTTCTGTTGAAATATACAGCAAAATTCTCACAGACCTCAGCAGGCCCATAATTTCATCTGTGAACCATATTTACTAGGAAAATATTATGATGAGCCATGGACTCATGTGCTTCACAGAAAACATGAAAAATAATCTGCTGAAGACCTAGAAAAATAAATGTTCTTGGTGGGCTTCAAATACCAGCCAAGCAAAGAGGCAAAACACAACACTTTGGTTATTGAGAAAACTGAAATGGTTTATGTCCCAATGGATTGGAATAATTTTATGCCTTGTTCATAATATATGAATTACAGAAATAGTTTTATGCAATGTTTTCATAGTTCCTAGATTTGTATCTTTAAATACACAAAAAAGTATACTTTCTATGGCGGTGGCAGTTCCCACAGAACCTTTTTTTTTTTCTTTCTGAGATCAAGGTAGCAAAACTAACATCTCCATTTGGTAGAATCTGGATACATTTGCATTTCCGATAATTCCTTCGTCTGAGTCACGGAGATGCCTTCCCCGAGACACGTAGTAAGTGCGGGCAGCTGTACAAGGGGGAAAAGGAAACCACACACACACAAAACCCAAAAACCTGATTCCTCTGAGAGTTCCCCCTGAGGAGGGATATCTCCACAGGGCACCTCAGGGCATCAGAGGGCGGCTGAGCGCTGGGCACGGCTGGTGCCACTGCCACCACAGGACTCTTGGACCGGGGCAGCGATGCGAGGCAGCAAGGAGGAGGTCTTCGGGAGAGCGACCCCACCGAGGGGAAAGCAAACGCCGGGGCACGGCGTGAGGCTGAAGCCTAAAGAGGAACGGACAGACACGGGCGTGGGCGCCCCCGAAGCCTTGCGTGCAGCCCCCGCCGCCTGGAGCCGGCTGCTTCTGGGCGTTCTCGGCGCGGGGAGGAGCGGCCGGGACGGCAGCGGCTCTCGGGCTCGCCGACCCCAGTGGCTCGGAGGAAGTGGGGCCCCCGGGGCTGGCTGCACCCCGACACGAAGTCCCCTCGCAGCCCGCTGCGGGGCGGTCGGGCCCAGCGCTTCCGAGGGCGCTGCCTGCTGGGACGGGACGGGACGGGACGGGACGGGACGGGACGGGACGAGCTTCTCCCGTTACCCTGTCCCCGGCACCAGCAGCCAGGGCCGATGCGGCGGCCCCAGAGGGGCGCGAGGGGCGCTTGTGCCCCACCAACAACCCCGCCGGCTCGCTTCGGCTCGGCCCTGCTCTGCCCGGGTCCCCGCGGGCACCGACGCCCCCCGAGCCTGCCCGAGCTCCGCGAAGGCGACGAGGGCCGAAGGAACGCGGAGCCGTCGAGGCGGCAGAAGTCAGGTGGGAGACTGGGCCGGGCCGGGCCGGTCCGGGCCGTGCCGGGCTTAGGGGAGCTGAGGGTTCTCCAGCGGGCGCACAGCCGGGGCCGCAGCGCTGCGCGGCGCACCGCTGCTCGGCCCCGCGCCCGCCGCCTGTCCCGGGCGGCCCGCAGCGACGGGACAGGACCCAACGGGACCCGACGGGACGGGAAGGGACGGGACGGGAGGGGACGGGACGGGACCCGACGCGACGGGGCGTGTGGCGGCGTGGCCGGCACCTGGAGCTGGACCTGCCTCCGCCCCGCTCCGCGCAGAGGCCGGGCCGGGGTTTGGCCGCGTGTCGGGTTCGGGTGGGCGCCGCATCCAATTTGTCGGGAGGGATGCTGTAGGCGGAGATGAGAGGCAGAGCTAACGGGGCTTCTGCAATCCCTGCGTTTGCCGGGCGAGAGGCATGGCACGGCGCCCCGGCCCCGGTACTCGGCGGGAATAGCGGTGTCAGCCCCGCTCCCGCTGACGGGCATCCTCCGCAGAGCCGGGGCGGCCGGAGCTTTTGCTGGGCACCGGCGAACGACCCCTCCCCATGCCCCCAGCGCAAAGGTAGGATAAAGGGATGCACATTTTGCCTCCCACGGACTGGCCAAGCTCGGCCGCTGCTGGACCCGTTTGCGGCCCCGCTGTGAGTGCGCGCAGCGCGGTTTGGCTCGGCTCGGCTCGGCTCGGCTTGGCTCGGCTCTGCCCTGGCTCGGCCCGGCCCGGCTCGGCCCGGCCCGGCCCGGCCCGGCTCACCTGCGTGGCAGCGGCTCCTCGCGGGGCCCGGCTCGGCGGCGGCGGCTCCTCGGCGGGGCCTGGGGCTCGGTGCGCCTCTGCCCTGCGGTGTCACTCGGAGGAGCGGGCGAAGTGTGAGCCCGGCGCTGCCCAGGAGTCCATAGAGGGAGAGCCTTGGATCCTGCCTACAAATTGCAGCAGCGCCGAGCTGTCTCCCATTTAAATGTCTGCCAGCTGAGATCTGCGCTCCAAGCCCCTCCAGATCATTGGACAAGCGCCTCCAAATCCCGCGTTATCCGCCCCCTTTAACACTTCCCTGAACTTCCACTAGGGAAAGCTTTCAGTCATGCAGATAAACACTCGACTACTTTCCTCTCTTAAGAGAATCGGTGCTAAAGGTCACCACCCCAAGGAATTGTTCCTGGAATGCACAGAAAATTCACATTTTCCATCCCCGCTAAAGTATGACATTTAAGAAGCGTTAACTCCCCGGCTTGCCTCCGCTCCGCTCCCCATCCCTTCCCATCCCTTCCCACCGCGCTGCCCGGCGCCGCCGGGGCGAGAGGTGTCCTGCGGCCGGGAGGGATGCAGCGACCTCCCTGCCCCGACCGCTGCCAGCCGGGCCGCTGCAAACACGCCCGGAGTCACGCAGCTTCCAGATGAAATAACACAAAACAGCGGGCGTGCAGGGCTTGATGCTAAAGCGCGGTTCGCCGTCCGCAGCCGCGCTCGTGGCTGTTGCACGAGGACGGGCTTCTCCCACCGCCTCGGGTGGGCTTTTCTCCTGCCATCACTCGGCTCTCAGGGGACCGGGGGTTCCCCAAGGGTCCCGCGGCTCGGGGCTGCTGGGGGCTGCCGGGGGCTGCCGCCGGAGCGGCGCCGGGCGGACTGTGGAGCTCGGACCGGGAGGGACCGGGGGGGACCGGGAGGGACCGGGAAGGACCGGGGGGGGACCGGGAGGGACCGGGGGATACCGAGGGACACCGGGATACCGGGGGGGCCTGTCCCCTCCTGCGGGCTGCTGGGCATCGAGGCTGTCCCCACTGCAGGTGGTGCCGTCGGGTCCCCGCTGCCCGACGCGCCCCGCAGCCCGCACACCGCGCGCCCCCGAAACCCCGCCGCGGAAACACCACGGATCTGGCGGATGGAGAGTTTGTGCTGGCCCCCCGGCTTTGCAGGTGGGGACGACGAGTTGAAACTCACGTAAAAGGGGCTACTGCTTTAAGGATGCCGGGCCAAGGCACGGTGCCAGCTTCCTGAGCTTTCAGAGCCGGTAGCATCAGCTCGCTCATCGCTAAGGCAGAACCGCGGCCGCACTTTGTGCCCGCTGCATAGGTGAGGGCTCAGCTCGTTAGCAAAATGGATCAATGGCTTTAACTCACATGCGAGTTTAGCTATAACTTGGTAAAAATTAAATAATAATAAAAAAAATCCCTTCAGTAGTGGGACCGGCAGCACACACAAATGCTGCAGAAGCAGCAGTGGTGCAGTGGTAGATGGCAGCATGAGAGAGAAAATGTGCTGGTGTGCAGGGGCCACTGAAGTTCAGTGCAATGAAGGGGGGAAGGATTATTGGCAAAGAATCACAGTCAGTGACATCTAGATGGATGGAAAGAGAGGCCCTGGGAATTTTTTTGGATTTTTCGTTATTTTGCTCTATAAAGCGCTATTGGACTTCATAGATGTTTTTAATTAACTGGGGTCCATCCTTTGTGAATCCAGAGAGAAAGTCACAATTCCCACCTCTCAGTATGTCGACAGACTTTATGCGCCTTTTCTATTCTTTTGTTAAGCGAAGCCGTGGCACTCGTGTAGGGAGAGGGGCTGCGCCTCTCTGAACAGCTGCCCTCGAGCTGGGCTGGGGTCTAGGGGAGCGCCTGCCAGCTCCTGCCCCTTGGTGCTGCTCTGGGGATGGGGATGGGGAAGTTTTTTCTGCGATTGCTCCTTTTGGTGCCTGATGTGGCACTGGCACTGCACACACTGCCACGTGTTGCTGCCGGCCTGTGGACAAGCTGCCTCTCAGCTGTATTTTTCTGGGATGCAGCTTACATGCCACCCTGGCATTCACCTCTAGATGATGATACCCTGGGCACCTGTGGCAGGATGGTCAGTTCCTCCCAGCACCTCACTGCACTCAAGCACTCAGCCGGAGCTGCTGATTTGGAGTGGATGTCAGCAAACCAAGATGTCAGCAAACCAAGAATCCCTTTTGGATGCATGTTTTGGTGCAGAAGGTATGCTCCCTCCTCAAGACCTCTCTTGGTTTCTTGTGACTGTATTTTCCCATCTGTTTTCTTTCACTCAGTTTAATCCATAAGGAGTGTTTCAAGTAGACACTAACATATTGGGTCCAGCAAGATATTTTTTCAGCTTTTTCTGAGCATTGCGAAGTAGAATTATTCCTGCGAGAGTTTGTCTGCTCATTCAGAAAAATAAGCCAAATGGGGACCAAAAAGGCAAATAATTATAGCCATATCTGCTTCCTTTGGATGAATGATGGTGGAAACAAAAAATAAATGGCAAATAGGAAGAAATATTTAGGGCTAATTTATTTCTTTGTGGTTGAGGTAGGTAGGGGAAAGACAGCTTTTTCTCTCATTGTTCTTTTAACATCAGGTATCCGGATCATTTCCAGCTGGGAAATTTGTATTCCTTCTGCTGCTGGGTTCATTAACAAAATATTCCTAGGGTTTACTCCAAAAGCTTGGCTGTGCTGGTCAGATCCCCACTGAAGATGAGGTTCTGGGATCTTCCAGCTTGAAAAGCCCCCTCTGCTTTAAAGAAAACACCTCCCCTTTCTCCCACCTTGTTCACACTTGGAATTCTGTTGATGCTCAGCAGTGCTGCTAATTGGAGCTTAGTCACAACTGGGGAAAACTCATGTAACTGTTAAGTACAGCCGTGGCCTATGGGAATATGTATATTTTTGTGGCATAGGTTTGAGATGAAGAGCTTTGATGCCATGGGGTAGTAATAGCACACACTATCAACCTGGCTGGATTCAACTACCCACTTGCTATTTTTTTTCCTTCTGTTTTTTTGTTTGTTTGTTTGTTTTATTCTTGTTTTAATTTCCTCTCCCACTTCTCGGTGGTATTCGCTGTGTGAGTTGTTCTTTGTTTTAGTGGAACAGTAAGAATTGTTTTAAGCTTAAAAGAAGTGCTGTACTTAATTCTTGCATAGAAAAATGGTATTGGGCTGAGCTCCTGTCTGCTACTGCTCACTTTGAGCACTACTCAATACATCCTCATTGCCAGGACAGTTGGCGCCTTATTAAAAGCCTTTGCAGAGGAGCCAAAGACTGACAGGGGCCAGATCCTCTTCTTGAGCAAATTGGAATAGCTTATAATAACTTCAGGGAGATGTAACTGACTTATGCCAGCAGAGAATCTGGCCCTAATATACCCAGAAATCAAATGCCTCTCACTCCTAGACATGTTCCTCCAGGTCAGAAGTAAGGTAAGCCGCAGGAGAGACAAGGCACATCTGAGCCGCCTGCCTTGGTGTTTTGAACAGTTCTGTTATAGAGAGGAAGGAGTTGGCTTTATAGGGCCATGAATCTGGCACTAATTTACAGAAGAAAAACTAAAAGGGTACATAAAACTCAGCCATTGATGAAAAAATCACTAATGTTTTTAGTGCTTTTTGTATGGCAGCAACTTGATATATTTCCTCTCTGCTGGTAACATTCAAGAAAAGTAATGCCAAGCCAGTCTATTCATGTATTTTGAAGTAGAAAATACAAATGTATGCATCTGTATTGCATATAGATGTTAATACATGAGGTATTGATGTTCAGCTGCACTTTTTGCCCTTCAAAATTACAGTGGCGCTTGTGCAAATCTTGTGAAAATAAGAGGGCAAAGTGTTCAGAAGTTTTCTCACCAGCACAACTGTAACTTTTCTCTTTGAGCTCTACAGCTGAGCTAGGAGCAATCTCTGACATTCAGGGTGCTCACCACCCGCCCTCCTGGGGGGATTTGAGCTGTCCTGCAGAGGTGCAAGGCAACGAGGCTTGGCATGGGTGTTACCTGATGCGACAGGAGATGTGTGCATTGCAGAGGTGTCTTGCTGCAGACACGCGTTTTGCAGGATATGCTCTGAGAGGCAAGAGATACTGTCATGTTACAGGGACTGCCAACCTTCTGGTGGTGTAAACAGCTGGTTTTCCTGACTTTCAAGAGGGGGAAGATGAGCAGCATCTCAGAAGCAGTTTATGACTTGGAGCATAGGCAGGGTCATATGCAGCACGTGTTGGATGGTCTGTGCATGGAAATGGCCTGTTGCTACATTATTGGCCACGTGGAAGTTTGTTAGCCTTACCTGGAAAAGAAACATTTTGTCACAGAACAGACTCAAAGAATGAAGTTCCCTGTGGGGTATTGATGTATCCAGAAATAACGAATGAAAAGCCATGTGAAAAAAAAAACAAAAACAAACAAACAAAAAAAAAACAGAAAACAAAACAAAACATCAACAAAAATAACCACACACTTTTAATGTCAAGCTTTATATTCAGGCAGAGAGTAATAAGTGACATAAAATAAAAAAAAGATGTTCTGTACTTTCACTTCAAGACACTTTATTAAAACACCAGTCCTGTGGTTCTTGCTTAGGCACTCTACTGTTTATTCTCATATAGATCAATGTGTAAAAAAGAAAAAAAAATGAGTTGTTGAACTTTATCTCAGCATTGTACTTCATATCAAGCCATATAAAATAATACAAGAAAAAGATGAAGTTAATGTGAATTGTGATAAATTTCTTATAAAATGTACTGCAAAATCAAGCTTCGGACTGTGCTGCACTTTAGCAAAATTCTGTTTAATTAAATAATTTAAATCATTCTTTTATTTCAGTTTTAGAATTAATGTCTATTTTGTTGAGGCCCCACCTCACAGACTGAGAAGAAAGATTTGGATAATATAATACTCATTAAAACCCAACCAACCAAACAAAAACCACAACATTTTAGATTTAGGTCGAGCAAACATCATTATTTTAATGTATAGATTTCTATAGGCTGAATAAAAAAAGTAAGCAAGGGAAAATGATTATTTGTGTTTTGTTTTGTTTTTTTTTTAATGAAATGTTTTGATTTTGTTTTTTCAAAATGTCACTTAATCTAGAAATGTACTTGCATTTCATTTGTGAGTGCTCAGAAACAGGACATGAGAAATCATAAGAATAAGTGGCTTCAAGATAAAATCACTAGCTTTAAGCATTTTAAAAGTCTGGGATCCAGCCCTGAAAAGTATGGTATCCTGGTATGTCTGAAAACCTTTCTTGTTTAGAATATAATACATGTAGAGTCAGGTTGTGGGCTTGTAATGATCTCCACACCTAGGAGCCACAGTCACTGACCAGAATTCCACTGTACTATGTGCTGCAGACATAGAACAAAAATATGTTTTCTGGCCTCAAAACACCTACATATGTAATGCAGTCCATATGTAACTATTTTTCAAAAGTGATTTGGAAAAGCTTATTTTATTAGGATGAAGTTTGACTGTTGGACAAGTATAAACTTTCATGCCAAATGAGGAAATATCATTTGTCAAGCTAAAGTTTTTATTACTCTTTTCACAGTTTTTTTTTATTTATTTATATATATATTTTTTATGCATCTTATGTATTTGATGACTATAGAAGAATTTGCCAAGAAAATGAAAGCCATAAAATAGCCATGAAAAATTCCTCTGCCCTCATGCTTTTGCTTTGCATGTTCTTCTGTGTCAGGGCTGTCTCATGAACCTGTAGGAGGTGTTTGCTGATATGCTTTGCTTTCCGGATGGTTCTGGAGCAACATGATAGCAGAAGTGACTCAGCTAAGCAAACTGACTTTGTCTAAGAAGCCCTTATAGTTTAAAGCTGTGTCTGGGTACTATGGACGGAGGCATTGAAGGAGCTTGATGTGTTATTTGCTTACATATTTCACTCCAGGGATATGACAGCTATGAAATACAGTTTCCAGTTACACTGCAAAGCTAAAAGACTCCCTTCCCATGCTGTAGTGCATCCCACATGTTGATAGTAACCTTTAAACAGATCACATCCACTTTTAAGACATGTATAGATATCCCCTACCCAGTTCTGGCAAAGCAGTCCCTTCCTTGCTGTGGTGCAAAGCTGTTTGCTGTGGTGGAGGCACTGTAACTCGGGACATTGCCATTTTGCACCAGGCTCGAAGAGGAGTGCTTGCTCTTTTTTGCAGTATGGGGACTCTCGTACAAAACCCATGGAGCATGTGATGCTAGCCTCTCAGTTAAGGTAGCTGGAAGTTAAGAAACTGTGTCCTTTTTCCTGACTGTACCACTTACTGCCTGTAGCAAAGGAAAAGGGAGTACAAAGCAGGAGAACCATTGTGTTATGTAAGAAGGTTCACAAGGCTTTTGTTTTGGTTTGGGTTTTCTTGTTTCCCATTGCCTGCTTTTTTAAATTCAAATCTTATCTGCTCTTTTTGTTTTTCCTGGCAATATCTAGGTAAAAACGGAACACCAGATAAAAAAGTGGCTTTGCAGGAATGAAGGAGCATCAGCCCTCTTCTGGCTGCGAAAACTTATTTAGACCGTGTGGAAGTTCTGCATTTCATAGTTGAAATCTACTGTAATAAACATGACTGCTATGTTAGAGGAAAGAAAGAGCTCTGTGAATCTATTGTACTGCTTCAGCTAGTCCACTTCAGCTAGTCTACTTCTCTGCGTGAATATAAAGCAACAATTCCTGAGGAGGCAGGTAGGAAGAAACAGAAATTGTCCTCGCTGACATTTTATATTTAGATGATCTCAGTGTCAAGAAGATGACATGTAAGAGGCACAAGTACCCTCCCACCCTCCTTCATCCTTTTCCCTTCTTTCACTCACACTGATTTTCGTGTGACTCCATTTCCCCAGGAACAGAGAACAGAGTTTTCAAAGGAGCCAGAATCATTTTGGCCCGAATCCTAAAAGCTGGTTCAGTACCAAACTTCCAATGAAATAAGTAGTTAATAAGAGGAGCAGGGAGTTCAAATTAATCTGGGAAGACAAAATGCATTTTTTTTTTTAATAATTTCTCTCTATATGCCTGAATGCATCTATTTTGAAATTTCTAAGAGCTTTTAATGGGGAAGAAGGCCTTTTAACTTCTGCTATTCTCCACAATAATAAAAAAGGTATTTCCAGGGAATAAGCCAAGTTTTCACTGACAAAAAATATTTGTTGACAAAAATAAAAATAAAAAAATAATAATAAAA